AAGTAGAAAGAAAATGTTTTGAAAATGATGATGGCAACATATGTACAACATGCTTGATACAATGTATGGATGGATGGATGGATTGAAATAAGAGCTGTAGGAGCCCCCAATAAAATTAGTTAAAAAAAACACAAGTCTTTATTATTTAAAGCATAAAAAATAAAGGGCTGCTGAAGATAAACAGATGACACAACCTTGTTTGCTGAACGTAAAGAGGACTTGACAGACTTGCTGATGAAGCTCAAGGATTGTAGTCTTCGGTATGGATTACAACTCAATGTTAAGAGAACCAAACCCCTCACGACTGGACCAATAGGTAATATCATGTTAAATGGAGAAAAATTGGAATTGTCCGGTATTTTGTCTTGCTTAGATCCACAATCGATGCTCATGAAAGCAGTAATCAAGAGAACAAATGACTCATTGCATTGGGTAAATCTGTTGCACAAGACTTCTATAAAGTGCTGAAAACCAATTATGTTACTTGGAGGACTAAGGTGCACCTGACCTAAGGCATGGAATTTTAAATTACACGTGAAAGTTGGACAATGAAGATGGAAGACTGGAAGAAGCACTGCATTTCGTGCTGGTGAAGAATACTGGAAGAACCAGGGACTGTTAAAAGGATGCACAGACCTTTCTTGGAAGAAGTATAGCCACAATGTTCCTTAGCGGCAAGGAGGACAAGACCTCATTTCACGTGCTTTGGACATGTTGTCGGGAGAGACCAATCCCTGGAGAAGGACATGATGCTTGGAAAAGTAGCAGGGCAATGACAATGAGGAAGACCTCCAACAAGATGGCGTCAAACATAAATTATTCTGAGCATGGCACAATATGAACAGTGTTTTGTTCGGTTGTATGTCACTGTGAGCAGGAACTAACTCAAAGGCACCTACCAACATGCAAAAACACCTCAACGAAGGAAAAATGCTAACAATCACTAAAGCTGTACTATGTGAACATAGGGGATCATTTGTACACTTTCCCTGCTTCATATGCTTGAAAATTTAAATAATTAAAAGCTAAATTAAAATGTTATATTAAAAAGTCTTGGTAGGGGTGGTTTGTCTCTTGACTAAGAAAAAAATGATCTTTGCAACAGATTTGAAAATAACTTACGATTCTTAAATCTGTTCTATTGCCCATTAACCACCATTCAGTCACTCATTCAGTCACTTCACTGCCATAGAACTGTCATTGCTTCTCATTTGGTCTCTGGCTCCCCTCTTTCCGCAGTTCACACAGTTCTAGAAACCAGACCAGCTCACTCCTCTGCTGAAGAACTTTCCAATGCCTTCCTGCTGCCTACACAAATGTAACCAAAAATCAAACCAAAGCCATTGCCATCGAGTCGATTGCTGACTCATAGCGACCCGCTGTGGGTGTCCGAGACTAAATGTTTACAGGAGTACAAAGCCCAGTTTTTTCCCCAGGAGCTGCTGATAGTTTTGAACTGTTGACCAATTCAGATCACAACCAAACTTTAAGACTAAGATTATTGTTATCACAGGTACATTTTTAAGACTCTCCTCTACATTCATTATCTCCCTTCCCAACTTTCTGTTCATATTGTTTTTGTGCATGTTACTAACTCTGGCCATCATGTTCTTCATTCTCCTCTATTATTGACAATAACTCACTTATCTTTCCAATATCACCTCTCAACTGAATCCTTCTAGATCAGTGGTTCTCAACCTGTGGGTTATAACCCCTTTGGGTTCATAACAGTAGCAAAATGACAGCTATGAAGTAGCAAAGAAAATAATTTTATGGTTGGGGGGTGACCACCCCATGAGGAACTGTATTAAAGAGTCGTGGCATTAGGAAGGTTGAGAACCACTGTTCCAGATGCTGTGATATGACTAACTCTTTCGAACTCCCTACTGCATTTTTCTCTGTACCAAAAACCTAACTATCCATACAAGGTCTCAGAATTACTTTACATGTTCATGGTGGTTTACCCACTTAGATAATGAATCTAGTTTAACAAAGAAAACTTGTGTTATCACAGTATTTAACACAGTGCTAGGCACAGCAGAAGTGTAGAAACACATCAAGAAAATTGGGACAGCTTTTTCCCTTCTTTAGGAAGGAAATAACTCATCATATAATACTCGTTCAAACCCTTAAAAGTCTAGTTAGTAGTAGGTACATGCTTTTGCCAACCATCCACTACACACATTGTTACCAAAAGGTTACTTCTAAGTCTCCCCTGCTCATAAAATGTACTAACTCCTCAAAAAAATCTTCCTTGTTTCTAGTTTTGAACGTTGAACCACACCATTCAAAGCCATCTCTCTCTCTTTTTTATTAGAATGTCTACAATTTAAATCATTTTATTGGGGGTTTTTACAATTCATAACATTCTATACATCAAGTGTATCGAGCATATATGTACCTATGTTGCCATCATTTTCTAAACATTTACTTTCTATTTGAGCCTTTGGTATCAGCTCCCCCCCTACCCCCTCGATAAATTATAATGTATTATTGTTTTCATATCTTACACTGACTGCTCTTTTCCTTCACCCATGTTTCTGTTGCTCGGGATGGGGAGAGGAGTTAGCGTTGATCATTGCAATCGGTTAAAGCCATATTGCTTTCCAAAAAAGCTAGTTTTCTTAACCTTTCATCTGCATCTATTCATTTAAAACATATTTCCCAAGCTCTTTCCTCAACTTGTAATGCTTTCTTTTACAACATTCCGTATTAAAGTGGTAGATGCTTGCTACTATTGTATCCAACTTTAGAAATTTAAAAAACAAAACAAATAAAAACATGGACATAGAAAGGACTTACATATATCACTAATGTAATTTCTAATTCCAGAATAATGTCTAATCAACTTTCTCATTTCTCCAAACCTTACAGAATTCTGTCTAAAATTTTGACAATACCTAACAGGATTACTTCTCCAAATTTGGGATGCTAATTACATTTCCTTAATCTCTATTCCCCAAAAGAAGAATAACAGATAGCAAAAGACAACCAATACTTCTCGAAAGAACAATTTCCCACAGAAATTGAACAAGGTTGTTATATTTATCTAGATGACAGAAACACTTCTCTGAAATCCAAATCCAAACCAAACAGTGACCTAAAATGTCAAACATCTACCCCACACCATTATTTGCAAAATTTGGGCATTATCAATAAAATTAACATCCAACAGAGCACAATATACTTACAGAAATGTGTGTTGCACTCATTATTGGCATAAACACTCTATTCACAAGTCAGCATTCCTTAACAATAAACTATTTTTTTAACAATAAACATTTAAGCATATTATCAATGCATGAAAACCACCAGACCTCACACCTGTCAAATATAAGCCTTTATTCATTCAAATAATTATGATGTAAGAGCCGTATAACCCAAAAGCACTTCAAAATATCTGTCCATGAGATTGTGTCTATAAAAATTTCAGTCACGATGATTACCTTCCATGAGAGACCTAGGAGTTTCTTTTTATTGCTAGGTTTTAAAAGCCAAATGCAAACTGAGAAAGTAGAAAGTTGTTAATAGCTAATAAATAAATAAAGGTCTCACTGTTTTTGAAAGGAAATAAAAAGCACCACTGCAAACTATTTCACCATCAAGACAACGCTTGTAACTTACTCATTATAACCTGCAGCAATATAAGGGCTTCAAATGATTGGTGGAGAAATTAAATTCAAACATTATGAACTGTTTCCACAAGCCTTCTGAAGCCCGGATGTACTAGTATATTCAATGTTTAAAGAAATAGATGTTATCTGACCAAGAAGAACCTGATGAACATTTAAAATAGGGGAAAAAGCACCACACACCTTCAAATTATTAATTGCAGAACAAGAACCAAATATTTACTCCAAGTTGGAATTAAATTAAAATGAAATTCTCTACACAGAACTGTGTCCAGCAGCGCAGGTACATCGGAGGATATAGCTCACACATTGCCTAAGACAGAATTTGGTGCACAGGAGTGCAGTCCCAAAGGGCCACCATGTTATAAGTCCAGCCCACAAAAGTTCCCTGAATACATTGCCCAATTCTAAGCTACTCTCTACCTTCAACCAGTGGTAATCAATACAAGAACCAGCGAAGGTAAAAGAGAGTATCTAATCCAAGATAACAAACAAATAGGATTTCAAGATGGGTTTGAAGGCTCTTGAATATCGAAAGAAGTATCAAAATATATGTATTTCCTTCGGACCTAATCTCTGATCATTCTATGGAATGGGGAAGCCACAGGACAAACTTGATACCCAAGTGATGGCTCCAAACTTCCAGTCACACAAATCTACTACTTGTAATTTTTTTCAATCTGATGCCTTATCCTATTATGTAGAATTCTTAGAAAAACTAGAGAATACTTAAGGTCCTAGAAAGCTTAAGCCAGGAGGCATTACACCAATGATTCCAGTGCCACACAAACTACATGTCATTTCTAACAGGTTCCAGAAGAAAATCAGACAAAAATAAATCTATGGTTCTGCTGATAGAAATAATCAATGACCTACAAAGAGAGCTGAGCCTATCAGCATTATATAATCAAACCCAACAACAAACATATACTATGACTCAAAGTAAAATCACAACATAGAGCAAGAATAGTTTTACTTGGCATTTGTTAGTAATAATAGGCTATAAATTCACATGCTTGCAAAAGTGGAGATAAAACAACAATCAGCAAATTTGTAAGTCACCAGGAAGCTGAAGGTTTGGAAAAAAAGGTAGCTATTTCCACTTTAATCTTGTCACTTGAATAGTGGTATGGGAGCAGACTCAAGAACAAAAAAATGAGAGCAACCAAGGATAATTTACTAAAATTCACCTTAAAAAGATTGAATCTGCCATCTTGGATCTCTGCACCTGGTGTAACTTCCATAGTACAGTCTTCGGCCTAAGTTAAATAACATATTCCCCATTAAGATACCACATAATTTTAAAGTAATAGGCCATATAAAGACAAACTAGCTGTGGCTAGTCTGTAACTTGAAACTAAGAACATTAGATAATCATTAATAAAGAACTCTGAAAGGGAAGGAAGGGGAAACAAACACATATGGTAAAGAGAATGGAATTTTTAAATTATTATATAGTATTTAACCACCTTTTTAATGAACAAGTTATTTGGGAGGGGAGGGGTTCAAAACATATAATGGAAAAGGCAGGGGTATTCTGGAATAGTTACTAATTACCGTAATTTTATTTGTGGTAGAGGTAACTGGTATAACTTCAAGGCCCATTCGTATCCTCTTTTGCTTTTCACAGTAAGCTTTCCAAGTATCTTCATTAAATCCGTAATTAAAATAATCAGAGAGATCAGCACCTAAATATAAAAGTCTTTTATAAGATAAATAATCCAACTCTTTTGGTATCACATAAACATAATTATAGAGTTCTCTGAGTCCTAATTGCTCCTTTTTACTAGTTTTCCAAATAATCACTATAAAGGATGACTGCTTTAAAAACTTTATCATTTTTATTTCCTTTACAAATGAGTCTAAAATGAAAGAGATAAAAACAGTAAGCAAAAATCTTTATTGTTAAGTCACAAGTTTTAATAATAGAAGTAATTATTTGTGTAAGATAACAAAAAGGACATTAAAAAATATTCTGAACTAATGCTCAAAATTTACATTCTGGATACTGTTTATTCTAAAGAAACTTTTAACGGGCAGAATCCACAAAAATCATACCTGGTTTACGCCATGGTTTGTCTTCAAAAGAATCCAAATCTACCTCCAAAAGGGGAACTCCATTAATACTTCCAGGTGCATCAAGGTCTACTCCTTTGACTTTCGTTCCTATTTACAAAATTACAAAATGATCATGTAGTTATACTAGATGGGAAGTTGGGAAATACCACAGACACAGAGAAAACACAATTTATGTAATACTGCTGGCATTAGATATGGGAGTGATTCCCAACAAAGCTTTAACGTTTACCACAGACAGAGAACCTTCATGGAGTAACCGTAAGATAAACCGAGTAGGGACTAGAGACTTATATGCCTCATAAGCGATACCTAAGCCAAAAGAAAGTTGCTAAAGTCTATGTTTTAAATTATTGCTTCTATACAACCTATGAGTTGACTTTCATTTACATTTTCAAAGTGCAGAACAAAAGGAATGTGGCAGGTTCTACATGTGACTTAAATATAAAGCCCTTTCTTTAGGCTGATGTCTGGTATACATGGCTGAAGTCTGGTATAAAGGCTGATGATGTCTGGTATATGGTATATAAAGCCTGATGTCTGATATATATGGTCAACGATGGCTCTCTTTTAACTGAGCAGTAGTAATTGTTCAAATCTACTATCTATTTAGGTACATGCCTCGGTTTTCTCTTGATGCATCAGCAAGTACCATCAGTCCCCTGTATCCACAGGTTCCGAGTCAACAGATTCAACCAATCATGGACTGAAAATATTCAGGTGGAAAAATAGCAATTACGTAGTCAAGCAATTGTTTAAAAAGGAGCACATTTATATTGTATTTACCCTGCATTAGGTACTATAAGTGATCTGGCAGTGATTTCGTCTACAGAGAATGTGCATGGGTTATAGGCAGACGCCATCATTTTACAAAATCCATGGATTTTGGTATCCACAGAGGCCCTGGAACCAATGTCCCAAAGGTACTGCGGGGTAGTCAGAAGACAAACTTTACCTGTAGTTCCATAAACTCTTCCTCCAGTCTTGATGTTAAGGTTCACAGGTGCTGTACCGTAACTCCTAAAATCAAAATAGTAAGATTACCAAGAAATGTAAGGTAAGCAATGTGCACAAAAAGATTACATACCCACAGAGAAAATGAGATACTCTGACAATGACTCAGCATGCTTTAGAAAAATATAAATTATCTTTAAGTCAATAAAAGTAAACATATATTTTAAATAGGTCTTTTTTTTTTTTTTTAGTTCTTTTGTTCTTCTTACTTCAAGGGCCTTTTACCAACTTTCCCCGGTTCGTTGGTGGAAAGGGACCGGTTGATACATCTGTCTTCATGGCCTCAACCTAGTTAGACAACATACAGCAAAACTGCAAAAAGAAATTTCTCCCTTCTTGACAAATCCATTTGCCTCCTTTTCATTCTTCCTACATTTGGTAGTTGCTAATTCCTCTTTCAAATACACAGAGTACTCGTCCAGATTCCGCACTCAATGATATGGAACCAACAAACAAAATTCACTCCAGGGGGCAAGCAGAACAGTGTTGGAAGGTGGTTAATCAGAGAAAACAAGAGAGAAACCTAGAATGTTACTAATGTTCCATAACATGACTTCGGTGGTGGCAATAGGCATTTTTAAACTGCAGTAAAATGTATGTGATGGGGAAGGTGGAGGGAGAGCGGGGGAACAGATCACAATGATCTACATATAACCCCCTCCCAGGAGGACAGACAACAGAAAAGTGGGTGAAGGGAGACATTGGTCAGTGCAAGACATGAAAAAATAGTAATATTTATAAATTATCAAGGGGTTCATGAGGGAGGGAGGGAGGGAGAGGAAGGGAGAAAAATACGAGGAGCTAATACCCAGGGCTCAAGTAGAAAGAAAATGTTTTGAAAATAACGATGGCAACAAATGTACAAATGTGCTTGACATAATGGATGGATGTATGGATTGTGATGAGTTATAGGAGCCCCCAATAAAATGATTTATACACACACACACACACACATACACAGATTTTTAAAAACCTGGCAAAATTTGTCTAGAGTCAGACAAAACCTACTAGTTTTATACCTTGACTGAATCATTTAGATGCTAAGACCAGCCTCAGATCCATTTTCTGTAATGTGAGTTCCTTATCTCTATAATATAAACTTAACCAAATAAACCAACGAGCTGCCTTTGTGGGTTTCCAAGATTCTAACACTTCATGGGAGTAGAAAGCCTCATCTTTCTCCCATAGTGGCATTAGTGGTGTCAAATTGCTGTCCTAGAGGTTGGCAGCCCAATTCATAACCACTAGGCCACCCAGGTTTCTGTAAACATACATAAGCAGGAAAACCAAGCTACGTAGACTTAACTTTATGGTCATCTTGGCTAGGCTATAGTTGTCCCACAAACAACCAATTATAATCTAATCACCTTTTATTAAGCAATCTAATCAATTAGTTAAAAAGAGTATTCCTTTAGGGTATTGCAAGCCTTCAGGTTACAGACATAAATTTTATGGAAGTTGTGTCTATTCAACACTTTCTGTTGCCTGACCTACACATCTTAAGACACAAGTGTACTTTATCTCCCTCCAGCTTCGCCACTTGACCTCAAAATTGTGGACTTACCTGATCGTTTCCTATAATCCTGTGAACCATTAGGAGATTCACCTATAGATTTTTTTACTTGTAATCCCCAACAATTGTGAGTCAATCCCCTGGGTAAATCTCCTCTCTCTTTATATATGCTTCATTGTTCTTTGATCTTTGGCTCTTCAGGCACAGAGATTAGAGAGTGGAATAGGTAAGGTAGGAAAAGGCTAAATTCTCACCTAGAAAAATATATTATCAAGATCTCAAGTTGTAGATGTTCTCCTACACGTATTTCTTACTTATGGCAGAGGGAGGAAGTTTCAGAAAGTTCATGGAAAAGAAAATGGAAAGATATTGGAATGTTCCCAAGACCTTATTGGAGACTCCCCTTAATCAACACACTATTTGATTCTTCTGCCTCGGACATTCAGCCAACTAGACTTATGGAGGTCTAATGCTACACTTATGTGTGTACATCTAATGCTACATCCAATGTGTTAGACTTGCCTGCCAACAATTTCCGCATTTAAGATGATCTAGGTTATTCATTTCCACTAGTATTTATTTTAACCTTTTTTTAAAAAACAAAACGGCAATATTCAAATAACTGCATCCACTATAAAAGGTTAATAGATTAGTCCAAAGTAAGTCTAACCATTATCAACTTGAAACATTTAATGTCTGATTGATTCATTTTTTTAAAAAAGTTTACTGAGTACAAATGTCACGTACAGTTCTAGTTTAAAGATGAGGAACTGAAAAATTCCTCATATGATTCATACCCATATTTACATTTCAATAATGTATATACTGAATTTAAGAAAAACATTTTTATTTTATCAATATGTACTGTAAAAATTACTTGAAAACCAGATTATGAAAGGCAAGAACTAAATGGTCCTTCAACATGGTAAAGTAAAAATATAAAAGGCTTAGCCCTAAACCCTCAATAATGAGTTTGGTTTCTTCCCATCTGGCTTCTTTCCTATCTCCACTTGGCTTTGAAAACATTACAGTTGTGAGAAATGATGTACAAATGCGCTTTACACAATTGATGTGTGTATGGATTGGGATAACAGTTGTATGAGCCCCTAATAAAATGTTAAAAAATAAATAGATAAAAAAGAACCCAAATCAAAAAAGAAAACATTACAGTTGGCCTCACACTGACCTGTGCCACACTCACAATCTTTCATGTATCTGCGCCCACTGTTGTAGCCACTATGTGGCTCTATCTCATTACAGTGTTTTCCCTTTTCTCACCGACCCACGACCAAGCTTGATAGCCTTCTACAGGAACTGATCCCTCAAGATACTATGTCCCTTGATGAAGTAAAGTCTCATTATCCTCAACATCATAGATGCTTCTTCTAAAATACATTTGTTCACTCTTCTGTCAGGCCACTACATTCAATGTTTTCCAGCAACAGAATTAAAAGATACCGATTCTTCTTTGGTCTTCTTTAATTACTGGCCAGCTTTCACATGCATATGAAACAAATGAAAATACCTGGGGCTCCAGTCAGGTACATTTTATTTCTCAAATAGACATCTTTGCTTTTTAAGAAACATTACAGAGATCTTTTGCAGCACATTTGCTCAATGTAATAGGTCATTTGATTTCTTGACAGCTGCTTCTCTAGGTTTTATGAATCCAAGTAAAAGGAAATCCTTGACATCTTCAATGTTTTCTCCATATACCAGCAACTTGTCTATTGGCCCAATTGTAAGAAACTTTATGTTGATGTGTAAGCTATACTGAAGGCTGCAGTAAATACTGTTTTCTTCACTTTCAGACAAGGTTGTGCCATCTGTTTCTCTCAGGTAATTCTAAAACGTTTTTTAAATAGTCTAGTTTCTTGGATTGTCAATCATACAGATTAAATAAGTACGATGAAAGGACACAACCCTTAAGAGTGCCTGTCCTGATTTTAAAGCATACAGTATGTTCAGTTTGCTCTTTAGTTTGTTCAAGCCTCTGGTCTATGCACAGGTTCCACAGAAGCATAATTTAGTGATCTTAATTAAGTGATCTGGAATTCTCCTTCTTCACAATGTTGCCTATAATTTATTATGATCCACACAAATGCCTTTGCATAGCCAATACATTACAGGAATCGCTGCCATGGAATCAATGCTGACTCATACCAACCCCTTATGGGTTTCTGACACTGTAACTGTTTAAGGAGTAGAAAGCCTACTTTTTCTCCCACGGAGCTGTTGGTGGATTTAAACACTGGCCATGCAGATCGCTGCTCAATGCATTACCACTATACCACCAGGGCACCTAATAAACTACAAATAAATATATTTTTGTATTCTCTGCTTCTAGTCAAGAGTCATCTGATAATAATATTCTTCATTACACATCATCTACTAAATCCAGCATGAACTTCTGGCAGTTCCCTATGAACTGCTACAACCTTTTTTGGATTATCTTCAACAAAATTTTACTTGGATGTGTTGTTAATATTGGTTGACATTTTCCATTCTTTTGGATCATCTTTCTTTGGAGTGGTCACAAATATGCATCCTTCCAGTCAGGTCAAGTAGCTGTCTTCCAAATTTCTTAATATGGACAAATGGGTACTTCCTACAGTCTATCTCTTTGTTATACACCTCAATCAATTCCTGGATCCTTGCTTTGTAATCAATACCTTTGGTGTAGCTTGGACTTCTTTCTTCAATACCACCAGTTCTGGATCACATGTACCTCCTAGAATGATTTAACAGTGACCAATTCTTTTTGGTTCCATTTTCTTTCAATGCTTCTGTCAATGAATATTTTGCCCATAGAACCTGTCACTGTTACAATTCAAGGGATTATTTTTCTTCAGTTCTTTTAGCTTGTAAAATGCCAAGTGTGTTTTTCTCTTGGTTTTTTAACTCTTAAGTCTTTGAATATTTCATTATTCTATTTGAATTTGTCTTCTTGAGCTACCCTTTGACATTGGTTCTTTCTTTCACATCATCATTTCTGCCATTGGCTTTAGTTACTCAATGTTAAGAGCAAGTTTGGGAGTCTCTTCGGATATCTATTTTAGTCTTTTGTCCCTTTTCCTTTTGCTTTCTTCAAATGTGATGTCTCTGATCTCATTCTACAACTTGTCTGGTCATTAGAATATATAGCAAATGAATTCTTGAAATGGTCTCTAGATTCACGTGGAATGTAACACAGGTCCTACTTTTGTCTTTCGTTAACTTCTTAAGTTTTCCTCAGCTGTAAACTGAACTTGGCTTATGATCTATGGATGATGTTTCAGTCAGCGCTTGGTCTTATTCTCATTGATCTTGAGCTTCACCGTCTATTATTATCTCTTCCCAGTAGTGTAGTATATTTGATTGCTGTGTACACCACTCAGAGAGG